GATGCGGGGCTCGATCCCAGGACCCTGGGATCATGACCTGAGCTGAAGGCAGAGGCTTTAACCCACTGAGCCACCCAGGCGCCCCTAAGGTCTCATATTTCTTATGGAGTCCAACTTTTTTTTTTTTAAGATTTTATTTATTTGTTTGACAGAGACACAGCGAGAGAGGGAACACAAGCGGGGGAGTGGGAGAGGGAGAAGCAGGCTTCCCACCGAGCAGGGAGCCCCATGCGGGCTTGATCCCAGGACCCAAAGGCAGATGCTTAACAACTGAGCCACCCAGGCGCCCCTGGAGTCCAACTTTTTAAAATACATTCACTTATTTTTGGTTTGCCCTTTATGTATATCTTTGTATGTAACATCTGACATTAAGAACACAGACTGGGGTCAAACTACCTGTGTTCAAATGTTGGGTCTACCCCTTTTCAACTGTATGGTATGCTCTTAGAAGAGTTACTTAGTTCTCTTTGTCTCAGTTTCTTCATCTGTAAAATGGGAATAACATCAGTAGATAAATAAGAGATATTTTTAAAAGAATAAATAGTTTAAGGTACATGAAGTGTTCTAAACAGTACCACATTGCTAAGGGTTCAGTAGTGTTACCTTGTTTATGGAGTGAGTAGTGTTTATGTGTGCTTTTTAGAAAATTAGCCTTAATACTGTATTGATAATAAATGTATTGATAATAAACACATGATGTGTTTATTAAGAGGATTTCTTCTTTGGGGATGATTTATATAATTATTACAGCATACTTTTTGAATTTTAAACGGAGTCATTAATTCTAACAAAAATATATTTGTGGAAACAATAGGGCAATTTAAAAATCACATATCCTGGAAAAATCTGGGACATAGGTCTTTTTTAAGTTTAGCACTTCCTATTGCTGGGAGTACTGGGAGAAATGCCTACATCATTATGTATAAGACTCTGTGGCTCTGATTCCCAGATTTTTAAAATCCTTTCTCCTAGCAGTACTTACTCCTATACCAGTTACTACATTGGAGGGATTTCTCACATCATAAACATCACATTTGAGATCATCTAAATCTTTTAAGATGTTTAGCTATTTTATTTTTATTTTTAATTTTAAAAAATATTTATTTATTTGAGAGAGAGAGAGAAAGCACAAGCTGAGGGAGTAGCAGAGGGAAAGGGAGAAGCAGGCTCCCTGCCAAGCAGGGACTCAAATGTGGGACTTGATCCCAGAATACCGGGATCATGACCCGAGCTGAAGGCAGACTCTTAACTGACCGAGCCACCCAGGCACTCCTGTTGAGCTGTTTTAATACTCAACTTCTGCCTTTTGTTCTTGAATTTTTAAGGATTAAAACCAGTATAGCCATTTCTAGTACATGGCATTCATCATAAACAGTTCAACAAAGAATTGAGGACACGAATTCCATAGTCAGCTCTATAGTCATACCTCTGTTTGCTGACAAAGGCATCTTTTAGCTCTTTTTTCCCTGGGAGTTAAAATTGGACATAGAAATGATGCTTAACAGTGTAATTTTAAGTGTCCCAATATGAGTGCTTAAAAATGTATCGAGACTGATGAATATGATGAAAAGAGGTATTTCAGGCTAGAGCCTGTAGTATATATCATGAATTTGTGCTTCAGTTTTCCTTTATTAGTAGTAAATTAGCTGCCTACTTTTTAAGTCATGTGCTGTGACTTGGAGCTGTACAATCCTAACCCGCTGAGCAACCCAGGCGCCCCCCCTCTTTTTTAAGATTTTATTTATTTATTTGACGGAGAGAGAGATCATAAGCAGGCAGAGAGGCAGATGGCAGGGGGGGGGAACGCAAGCTCCCTGCTGAGCAGATAGCCCGATATGGGGCTCGATCCCAGGACCCTGAGATCATGACCTGAGCCGAAGGCAGAGGTCTATTGGAGCTGTACAATCCTTATACCTCAACTGTGCTCTGGGACAAATGTCTAAATGTATGTGGGTGATTGCTTTTAAAATGAAAGCTACATCTCGATACTTTTTTCTTCTAAAAATCTAAAAGCCCAAGGAACTATTTTGTATTCATATTTTTTATTCACATCAGGTTCAAAACCACTTCTTTAGCTGATTTTTCCTCAACAGTTGATGGAGAACAGATTATTTCCTTCATCCTTTGATCAAACATCAGCAGGGTTGTTGACATTTGCCAGCCTTAAGTTTGCATACATTATAAGTCCTGGCATATTGGGACAATAGCGAAAATATCAGAGTCTCGTTGATATGAGAGATCACACAAAGAAAAAGGAATTGGACTGTTTGACATGTATATGGCATGTATATGTAAATGTATATCTTAAACATTTTTAGAAGATCTTTTATATTATCTATTTTTTTTAAAAATTTTATTTATGTATTAGAGAGAGAGATTACAAGTAACAGCAGGCAGGGGCGCCTGGGTGGCTCAGTGGGTTAAGCCGCTGCCTTGGGCTCAGGTCGTGATCCCGGGGTCCTGGGATCGAGCCCCGCATCGGGCTCTCTGCTCAGCGGGGAGCCTGCTTCCCTTCCTCTCTCTCTGCCTGCCTCTCTGCCGACTTGTGATCTCTGTCTGTCAAATAAATAAATAAAATCTTTAAAAAAAAAAAAACAAAAAAAAAACAAGTAACAGCAGGCAGAGAGAGAGGGGGAAGCAGGCTCCCTGCTGAGCAGAGATCCTGATGCGGGGCTTGATCCCAGGACCCTGAGATCATGACCTGAGCCAAAGGCAGAGGTTTAACCCATTGAGCCACCCAGGTGCCCCTAGAAGATCTTTTAATAAAAATTATAAAGTACCTAAAAATTAATTATAATTAAATACCAATTTATAGTCATTAAATCTAATATTAAATATTATATATAATTAACACAAAGCATATAATCTTAATTTTAAGCAAAAATTTAAGATTATATAGATTTAAAATGTGGTATTTAAAAACTATGGGAGGATGGGGTGCTTGGGTGGCTCAGTCGGTTAAACGTTTGCCTTTGGCTCAGGTCATGATCCCTGGGTCCTGGGATTGAGTCCTGCATTGGGCTTCCTGCTCAGTGGGGAACCTGCTTCTCCCTCTGCCTGCTGCTCCCCCTGCTTATGCTCTCTCTCTGACAGATAAATATATAAAATCTTAAAAAAATAAAAATAAAGCCTATGGGGGCACCTGCGTGGCTCAGTTGGTTGAGTGTGCAACTCTTGTTTTTGGCTCAGGTCATGATCTCTTGGTCATGAGATCAAGCCCTCCAATGGGCTCTTCACCCAGTATAGAGTCTGCTTGGGATTCTCTCTCTCCCTCTCTTGTCTCTCCCCCCCCCTCTCTGCCCCTCCCCACACTTGCACAGGCACATGCACTTTCCCTCTCTGAAATAAATAATCTTTAAAAAAAAAAACAATATTTTTAACCTCTAGTTACTGAAACATGTTCTACACAATATAATTTCCTCACCCAAAAATTTATAACTATTTAAATATTTTTTAAGTAAATTGAACAGAAGATAATCTCATTTAGTTTTCCATCACTAATTCAGAATTCATGAAAATTTAGGCACTGGGCTGTTTGTTATCTGATAAAGAGAATTTCTTAATATCCAGATCTTCCCCTGCACATAAGTAGAATATAACCTAAATCAATAAGAAAATCAATAGGAAGCCCCAAGAAATACAGGATTCCATCACTGTGTCCTCTATGTGTGTGCTGTGGTGAGTCTTTGTATGATCAAGGACTTCTATACTTACAGTATTGTAAATTATATCTCTGAATTATATTATGAACTTAAACATATTAGTTAAAACATTCAGACCTTGATAGTCTGAAAGACATATCTTTAGAAAATGTCTGCAAATAAAACTTTTTATAAAGTTAGTATTTAAATAAAAGAGAAGGTTCATCAGTAATAATTTTTGCAAGGGTCAGCCATAGTATTCAAATGTTGTTAAAGTTGAATGGTTAATATTGTTTTTCAGCTTGAATTATTTCTAATGTTTAGGATATAAACAAGATGTGGCTGCTTCTACTTTTAAAATAGTCTACCTATATGACCCCAAATCTACTCTAGTCCTTTAAATATAGAGTAATTTTAACTTCTTAACATTTGCTTCTTTTAGAAATACTAAATAATGTGCTTTAGAAATCTTCTAAAACTCTAGGCTAATTGAAGCATGAATCTTCTGATGAGAGCCAGTAGGAGTAAAATTTAGTGTTGCATGGAGTACACATTTTTTTCTTTCCACTTGATCTACAGAGTGCTTATCTGCTCTGTTGTGATTCCCATAAACCCAGAATCCTAGATCACTTCTTCTGGTTCTATAAACAGATTAAGTTGTAACAAGAGGACTAGTACATTTACATACAGTTCACTATTGTGTAAAACATTGCGATCTCTAATTGTGATTGTTCTTTTGATGCGTTGTGATCACTGAACACCTGATTGTTCTTTTTTGTAAACACTGGAAACTTGACATTCTGCTCCCTCAGAATCTGGGTCACTCTACTTGTGCTCTTACTGCTCATTTGACTCCATACACATTTTTAGTAACTACATCTTGGTTCTTTTCAGGTAAATAGAAATGTCCCATTCACTGCCCAGGAACTTTATGATTGTGTTTCACAGTCTGAGTATCGGTAAGTCCCATCTGTATTCTAGGTAATGCAGTTGTCATAAGCTTTTACTGTATACAACACCACTTGGTGTGCTGGTGAAGGACTCTTTTTTGTGTCTGCACTATACTATGATTTTTTTATTATTTTAATATTTATGATTTTTAATTACACTATTTCTTATTACATGTACTATATTTAGTTCATTATTAATGCATTATTTTTATTACATGTATTTTTTATTACATGTACAATATTTAGTATGTATTACATGTATTACTAAAATAATAGTAATATTTATTAAATATTATTTTGTTACTACTACTGTTATTACAATATTTTTATTACTACTACACTATTCTTATTATTACTACACTATGATTTTTAATTATTTATTAATTTATTATTTCATTATTATATTTCTTTATTAATATGAGATAGTTCATACATACCAGAAGAGCCGTGTGTGTGTGTGTATGTGTGTGTGTGTATAAACATGGGTATAAGGTTTAACGTGGTTCTCAATATTTTTGGTCTCAAGGCTCCTTTATATTTTACAAAATTGTTGAAGACCCCAAAGACCTGTTTTCTGTGTGGGGTCATATCTATATTTGCTATATTAGAAATTTCAAAATAATAACTAATTAATTTCATGTTAAGATAAGAAGCTTATAATTATGAAAATAATTTTTCCCAGCAAAGGGTGAGATTCTATATTTTTGTAAATCTCTTAATGTGTGGCTTCATAGAAGACAGATGGATTCTGATAGCTGCTTTTGAATTTAGTCTGTTTTGATAATCACATGTCATGTATGACTGGAAAACTATTGTACATTCTTGCAAGAATGAGATTGCAAAAGGCAAATTGCGTCTTGGTCTTGTTATGAAAATAGCTTTGACCTCTTTGACCTCACAGACCCTTTGAAAGACTTATTTTCCCCAGACCATGTCTTGAAGACACACTAGTACAAAGAAAACTCATGCCTATCATTCATTGGACAGAATAGACCTTTACCCATCCCTGAGTGGATCCTTCCTTCCAGCTTCTCCTTAGAGATTTTGTGTTTATATTCTCATCTTTGTGGGTGTATATGTCAATAAAAATATGTTGATTAATTTTACCTGCTTTTGTACTTAATGGTATCATATATATTCTTTTAAAAATAATTTAGTTTATAGCATTCATATGTAACAAGAAAGGGGGAAGCAGTATAAATCTGATTCTTTAATATACAGGGTGTACATGTCAAGCCCTCCAGTCCTGAGTGCAGGCAAACAAATTCATGAGGAACAAAAACCAACTTAACACTGTCAGTGTTGCCCTCCAGTCTTATACTGCCCGTTCCTGTCATTCTTTTTTGACTCAACATCGAGATTCATCCATGTGGTGGCATGGGGCAGTAGTTGTTTTATAGTCAGTCCTACTGTGACATAATCTATTCATTCCTAAATATCACCTCCGTGCTATGCAAAATCATGCCAGAGAAAGACTCTTGGGAAAAATGGGTCTAAGGCACATCACTTAAAAACTTAATTAAGAGATACAGTAAAAAAGAAGGTAGGAACCTAATCAAAGTGGCATCTGTTTTACAACATGTTAAATGGCTAAAATAGAAATATGTAAATGTGACTGTAAATCTGACCCTTTTTGTTGAAAAAGAACCAAAGTTTGCTTGTGGAAGTGGCCCTTGGAATGGTTACAGCTTGTGGGTCAGTGAGAGTGGTGGAAGGAAGGTTATCTGAAATTGAACGTAAAGTCGCAACACCCGAAGTGAATGAGGTTCTGGTACATGTTTAAAGTGTGTGCACGTGTGTGTTTTGTGTATTCCTAAGTAGCTTGGTTGAGCTGGATAGTTTTCTCTGTTCCTCTGAAATTATATGTAAGAAAATGTGAAATTTGCATCATGCTCCAGTTGTTCTTTGATACATCAGTGGTATTAGAACAAGTTCATGTGACGGTACTTCCACTGCCGTGTAATATGCCATTTCTGTCACTGAACCACAACTCATTTGCGACTTCTAACTTGCATATATATCTGTGTTGCTGTAAAATTTTATGAGCAGGTACAGTGTTAACTATCAAGGTGCATCTGCTATTAATCTAGACTGATAAATTTATTCGATGCCAAGACACAAGGATCAATAATTATGCACAAATGTTAGTTAGTACAGCCATAAAAGCTCACTTACTCACTAGGTAAAGTTTTCCAAGAAAATCTAAAACCATTGGGCATGCATAGTCTAGTAGCTGGGGGTGAAAATGATTTTTTTACCTTAATCTTAAGACTATCCCTCAGTTATACTCTATTATGGATCTTTACAGATAGGCCACATCGGAAGGTTTGTGTACAAGAGATTTGTGTCAAAAATATAACATCTGTTGGGGGCACCTGTGGGGCTTAGTTGGTTAAACGCCCAACTCTTGATTTCCGTTAAAGTCATGATCTCATTGTCATGAAATCGAGTCCCACATTGGGCTCTGTGCTGGGCATGGAGCCTGCTTAAGATTCTCTCTCTCCCCCACTCTCTCTCTCTCTGCCCCCCACCAAATACATACATACATACATATATACATAAATAAATAAAATAACATCTATCAAACTCAACAATACATTAAAAAAAGTCATTCACCATGATCACATGGGATTTATTCCTGGGTTGTAAGAGTAGTTTAATATTTGCAAATCAACTCAATAGATCACATCAGTAAGAGAAAGGATAAGAACCATATGGTTATTTCAATAAACACAGAAAAAGCAGTTGACAAAGTTGACATCCATTCATGATAAAAACTTTCAACAAAGTAGGTTTAGAAGGAACATACCTCAACATAATAAAGGCTATCTGTGAAATACTACAGCTAGTATCATCCTCAGTGGAGGAGAAATTGAGAGCTTTACCCCTGAGGTCAGGAACAAGACACTTGTTTTTTAAAGATTGTATTTATTTGAGAGAGAGAGAGCACTCAAGGATGAGCAGGAAGAGGGGGATGGAGAGCCAGATGCTGGCCTCCACCCCAGGACCCCAAGATCATGATCTGGGCTGAGGGCAGCTGCTTAACCGACTGAGTCATCCAGGTGCCCCAGGAACAAGGCACTTTCATTAAATATAATACATGGTACTGAAAGTCCTAGCCACAGCAGCCAGACAACAAAAAGAAATAAAAGACATCTAAATCAGCAAGGAAGTAGCCAGACTTTCACTATATGTAGAAAACCCTGAAGATTCCACCAAAAAACTACTAAAACTAGTAAGTGAATTCAGCAAAGTCACAGGATACAAAATCAATATGCAGAAATCTGTTGCATTTCTTTTTTTTTTTTTTTTTTTTAAAGATTTTATTTATTTATTTGTCAGAGAGAGAGAGGGAGAGAGAGCGAGCACAGGCAGACAGAATGGCAGGCAGAGGCAGAGGGAGAAGCAGGCTCCCCGATGAGCAAGGAGCCCGATGTGGGACTCGATCCCAGGACGCTGGGACCATGACCTGAGCCGAAGGCAGCTGCTTAACCAACTGAGCCACCCATTTTATTTACTTATTTGACACAGAGAGAAAGCTATCACAAGTAGGCAGAGAGGCAGGCAGAGAGAGTGGGGGAAGCAGGCTCCCCGCTGAGCAGAGAGCCCGAATGCGGGACTCGATCCCAGGACCCTGAGATCATGACCTGACCCGAAGGCAGAGGCTTTAACCCACTGAGCCACCCAGGTGCCCCAATCTGTTGCATTTCTATACACTAATAAGGAAGCAGTAGAAAGAGAAATTAAGAAAATAATCCCATTTACAGTTGCACCAAAAGCCATAAGGAATAAACCCAACCAAAGAGGTGAAAGACCTGTACTCTGAAAACTATACAACACTGGTGAAAGAAATTGAAGATGACACAAAGAAGTGGAAGGGCACTCCATGCTAATGGACTGGTATGATATTGTTCAAGTATCTATATTACCCAAAGCAATCTACACTTTTAATGCAATCCCTAACAAAATACCAAGAGCATTTTTCACAGAGTTAGAACAAACAAAATTTGTATGGAAGCACAAAAGACCCCAAATAACCAAAGCAATCTTGAAAAAGCAATGCAAATCTGGAGGAATCGGTTTTGGACTTCAAGTTATATCACAGAGCTGTAGTGATCCAGACAGTATGGTCCCAGCACAGAAACAGACACATAAACCAATGGAACAGAATAGAAAACCCAGAAATGAACCCACAGCTATATGCTCAATTCCTTTTCAAGAAAGCAGGAAAGAATGTCCAGTGGGAAAAAGTCTCATCAACAAATGGTGCTGGAAAAACTGGACCACTTTCTTACACTGTACATAAAAATAAATTCAAAATGGATTAAAGACCTAAATTGAGACAGGAAACCATAAATATCTGAGAAGAGAACACAGGCAGTAATTTCTTTGACATCGACCTTAGCAAACGTTTCTAGATATGTCTCCCGAGGCAAAGGAAACAAAAGGAAAAATAAATTATTGGGACGACATCAAAATAAAAAGATTCTGACAGCAAAAGAAACAATAAACAAAACTGGAAGGCAGCCTACTGAATGGGATAAGCTATTTGCAAATGATGTATCCAGTAAAGTGTTAGTATCCAAAATGTATAAAGAACTTACAAAACTTAATAGCCCCCCCCCCCAAATAATCCAATCGAAAGATAGGTAGAAGAGATGAACAGACGTTTCTCCAACGAAGACATCCAGATGGCCATCAGACACATGAAAAAATGCTCAACATCACTCAGGAAATGTAAATCAAAACTACAAGTTACTCCCTCTACTGTCAGAATGGCTAAAATAAAAAATACAAGAAACAAACCAGGTGTTGATGAGGATGTGGAAAAAAAGCAACACTCGTGCGCTGTTGGTTGGAATGCAAACTGGTGCAGGCACTGTGGAAAATAGTATGGAGGTTCCTCAAATAGTTAAAAATAAAACTACGGTATGATCCAGTAATCGCACTACTGGGTATTTACCCAAAGAATACAAGGTCACTAATTCAAAGGAAGGATACATGCACCC